CTGAGGGCTTGTGAGGGCGTGGTCAGAGTGAGTAGGGGGACTGCGTTTTCGGTTTCGGTCTCTCTTTGCTTCTTGCTGTACAGACTACCACCGGCTGGCTGGTCCGCTCTGTAAGTAAGCCTTTTCCCTATTAAATACCCTTATATTTCTACCTGACTCCGTATTGGTAATTTCCTACTATAGGTGGGAGTGCAAACTCTTACAGTCACTTTGGAAATCAGTATGGCCGTTCCTCAGGAAAATGGGAATCAGTCTATAACAAGATGCAGCGAGAAAATGTGGTACATTTATACAATGGAGTACTACTCAGCAGAAAAAAGCAATGGAATCTTGAAATTCTCAGACAAATGGATGGAACTAGAAGAAACCATCCCGAGTGAGGTAACCCACTCACAAAAAGACAAACATAGTATGTACTCAATCATATATGGATTTTAGACACAGAGCAAAGGATTACCAGCCTACAATCCACACTGCCAGAGAAGCTAGGAAACAAGGAGGACCCTAAGAGAGACATACATGGTCCTCCGGAGAAGGAGAAAGGGACAAGATCTCCTGAGCAAATTGGGAACATGGGAGGAGGAGAGAGAGAGTTAGGAGAAAAAGAGGGGGAGAGGAGGGGAGAGAAGGGGAGAGGAGGGGAGAGGAGGACATGAGGGAGCAGGAAGATTGAGTCGGGGGAAGAATAGAGGAGAGCAAGAAAAGAAATACCATAATAGAGGGAGCCATTAAAGGCTTAAAGAGAAATCTGGCACTAGGAAAATGTCCAGAGATCTACAAGGATGACACCAACTAAGAATCTAAGCAATAGTGTAGAGGCTACCTTAAATACCCTTCCCCAATAATGAGATTGATGACTACCTTATATGCCATCCTAAAGCCTTCATCCAGTAGCTGATGGAAGTAGAAGCAGACACCCACAGCTAAACACTGAATTGAACTCCTGGAATCCAGTTGCAAAGAAGGAGTGATGAGCAAAGTGGTCAAGACCAGACTGGAGAAACCTACAGAAACAGTTGACCTGAACAAGGGGGAGCACATGGACCCCAGACTGATAGCTGGGAAACCAGCATAGGACCAACCCAGACCCCCTGAATGTGGATGTCAGTTAGGAGGCCTGGGCAGTCCATGGGGCCTCTGGTAGTGGTTCAGTATTTATCCCTAGTATACAAATGGACTTTGGAAGCCCATTCCACACAGAGGAATACTCTCTCAGCCTAGACACACAAAGGAGGGTCTAGACCCTGCTCCAAATGATATGACAGTCTTTGAAGACCCCCCCATGGAAGACCTCACCCTCCCTGGGGAGCAGTAAGGGAATAGGATAGGGGGTTGGTGGGGGGCAGGGGAGGAGGGAAGGGAGACGGAAATGGGATTGACATGTAAAACAAGCTTGTATCTAATTTAAATTTTAAAAAAAGATAAAAAAGATAAAGGGTTACCCAAAGAAGGAATGAATAAATGAAATGAATATGAATAAATGAAATGAATATGAATAAATGAAAGAGTAAATGGATGAATGAATTAATGTAACACAAACATGGGAGCTTTGTTTCTGAGGACATTTGCCCTCTATCACTATGAGGAAAGGGGCTGCCTCAATCTGTCATAGAAGCAGAACAGTCGCTGCTTACCATTGGTCAAAGGTTGTTTAACAAGGCCACTCCGGTTAGATAACCTGAGTCACCTGCTGAAGATCTATAGTTTAAACCCACATGCGTGGAAAGTGGAGTTGGGGGCCAGGGGTCAAAGTTTAAAATACAATAGAGACAAACACCATTGCAGTATCACCCCTTAGTCATCCCTCCTCTGACTTGAGGCAAGGTCTGGCTTTTTGACACCAGTCTTGCTCCCCTCCCCAGAGGTGCCTGCAGCAGCAGCCAGATGCCCTCTCACTTACGGTTTGCGCAGGATCATCCTCATGTGGGCATCAGGGCCCATCTGTGACAGCAGCAGCATGGTGTCCTGGAGTTCCTCATCACACTCCTTCTTCTCTTCCTCAGTAGGCAAAGGGGCATCCTCATGCTCGTCATCCAGAAATCGATAAAATAAATATTTGTCTTGGAAGTGGCGTTCCTGGTCCACTGCGGGAAACATAGAGGCAAGGGTCAGCCGGGGCTTGAAGCTGTGCCCCACAGCTCTCTGGCAGGAGGACAGGGCTGGAGTCCTGCTAGACAGTCAAGCAACATACAGCAGAGGGCCTGAGTCCTTCGAACTCCACCTCACTCGGGCGGGGTGGCTAGAAGCTGAACCGTCCCATCTGCAGTCATTTGAGCCACAGCCTCCTAGACCCACCCGATTTAGCCTCCTGAGAACCTGCCAGCTTTTATGGAATGAGCACACAACACCTTGGTGGCATTTTCTACAGTGTGGGGCATGTGTTCCAAGTTGATAAACTCACTGTTAGGGCACACTTGCAGAATGGCTTTGGGAGTACGGCCTTCCTTTGGGAGGTCAGAACTTAGGCTCTTCTTGCTATATGGAACTCATCAGACACACTCCTCTCCACACTTGGAGAAAAAAAGTTGACAAGAGTACAAAGATATAAACAAAGCCAGCTCTAGGCCATAGACTCCTTGAAGGGATTTGTGCTCACTTTCTTCCATTTTCCATTTTCAGAAAGCTATTTCCTCCCTTTCTTTGGCAAAGCTGGGGACTCAAATACAGGGACTCACACATACTAACCAAGTGATCAACAAGAGTTAGGTCTCTGATAGAAAAAGAGGGTGAACTGGGCTAGAACCTCTCATCTAAATGTCTGAAAGTCATTTAGTCCCTTTATAGCATGGATTGTCAAGATGTTCAAAAGACAAAGAACAGTGGTAGAGCCTTGCAGATCCCCCAAATAGGGATGGAAGTGGTGTGGCAGCAGCAACATAGGACACTTAGTGCAAAACAAGATGCTTAGAATCCGTCCCAGACCTGCAAGTTGGAATCTGCTTTCAACAAGAGCCCCAGGTGATTGGTATGCACGCTAAAGTCTGAGAAACTCTAGCAAAATTATTTTCCCCACATTCCCAGGTGCCGAGGAATGAAATGGATGATTTGAATATTTTCATGTTTAGAAAAGTAGTCTTAAACAAGTGGTGTGAGCAGTTCAGTGACAGTCACACACCAGCTCTGAATAGCTCTTCTGTTCAGCGAGAGCTGCCACAGTTACTAGAGACTGCAATTGCAGAGCCCAGCTCTGATTTTAAATATGGTCATCCCGCGGGTATACAAATTGACTCTCCCAGACAGTGGCATAGTTAAAAGGCAGTTTCTGAATTCATTACTTACTTTCATGTCATCAGCCCGGCCACACATTTCACTGCTCTTTCATTCTGCCTCTGCATCAGGACTGCTATGTAATGCTTGGAATATAATCACACTATCAATGAACCATGAATGCAAACTAATAAACATAATTGGAGCTGATGCACTCCGGTTGCAATTTCATTTTCTTTTCCTTCATTCTCGGAAGTTAGGGAGGTACAATGGTGGAACATAGCAATCAATAGCATCCGCTCACTGCATTTGTATTACTAAATGAAGATGCTAGCTTGGTGGTTCCTTAAGGAGATCATAATTCTTTCTTGCCCATTTGGGAATTCAGCAATAGCTTACCCAAAGAAATACACTTCACATGTCTTGAGAGTTTTCCCAGAACCTATGGCTCATCTTACCATGGTTGAGGACACCGTCTTCTAGCAAGACTTGCCACATGCCAACAGCTTGAGTCCGGGAGTGAACACAGGACGTTTGCTGTATCATCCAGTCTACCAGCTCAGTCCCAACACAGCATTGTCTAAAGAAGATGAGACACAGAAGATGGAAGTCACCCCTTTGCAGAGAGAGGGGGAGAGAGCCTTCAAGAGGAGAACTTTCCAAAGAGTGTGGCACCATATGAGGTATCAATGCAAAGAAAGCTCTGTAGGGTATATAGCCTTAGACTCTTGCCCCATCTAACCAGGGTCAAGTAAATAAAAGAACACTAGAACACAGAGCAGCAAGCTGCTCAAAGAGCTGGTAGAGGGAAATCATTACCCTTCCTTCTAAGTCCGTCACTGTGAGCTAGTCCCGGAATACCTTAGTGCGAGGGGTGTTGGGAGAAATAAGCAATTAGCAATGTAAATCTCTCCGAAAGGTTCTGCGTAATGAGCATTAACACGTCTACAGAATCTGTCATCTAGCAACACCAGATGCTCCCTGTATATTCACGTGTTAGTCCCAAAAATGTCTCCTGTAGAGTGAGTCGGTTTGAGTAGTCGGTTTGTGTATTAGTTAGGAAATACACAATTATACACTTACATATTAGGAAACTCTGAGTGAGGTGAGAAAGTAGGACAGGTGTTCCTTGTGTGTGTACAAGGGAGAAAGTGAAGTCTTGAAGCCCTAGGGACAGATCTCAAGGGACAGTGGACTAGGGCAGGGAGGCCCAGAGCAGATGGCTGTGTGCAGCTGGGCCTGACTCATTGGTTGCCTCCCTTTGCATGCTAAGAATGGGACGGCCTCTGGGGATGAGCAGAGACTGGGCCAAATCTGAAGAACTCTAGCATAAACTGAAGTAGACTCCTTGTCCTGGATCACTTTGGGAAAAATCTTGAAGTAGATGTTATGGGGTAGAACAGCAGATTTGCTACTCGTTAGTTATGTGACTTTGGCCATCTTTCTTGTTCTGTTTCCTTCCTTCTCTGTAAGATAAAGGAGGGACAAGTGATGGCCTTGGGGACCTTCTCCAGGTCCAATATTCTAGAACCTCTGAAATCTGAGTTCCTGGAATGCGCTGACCCTGACTCAGGGAGGACTGTGGAGGCCAGCCATGCCATCCATCACAGCTTCAAAGGGCAAAGAGACACCTACATCTTCACTCTGAACTAACCAAATAAACAAATATTTATCTTATAATTTTGTAGTCTATTAGTAGAAAAGTTCTTATAAACGGATAGAAATCAAGTTTATTTGGCTTTTAATTCAATGATTGCTCATAAAGGAAAAAAAAAAAGCACACACACAACAGAGATGACTCAGAACATTGAATTTCTAGGAAAAGCATAGGGACTTTGGAGCCAGAATACACAACTAGTGCACATAGCACAGTCCCTGGGTATCTTTTCCACTAAATGACACCTACGCTTCAGAACTGACTGTCAACCACTCTAGCATAGTAGTCTTTGCGATGATACTGAATCTAGAGGGGCCTCAACTCTGTGATACTGAAACACTCATATAATGGGATGAAAACAGGATGGAGTTTGCCAGCACAGATGCGGGGCAATAACTCAAACTGCTGCAGGAGAAGAAACCATGTTCGTGGCTTCCAGTGGAGTCCACTGGTCATCACCAACAAATCAGTAATTTGTGTCATAGGGTGTGGAACAGACATAACACCTCCATGTCAGGGGTTTAAGTCTCAGCAGGATGGCACAAGGAAGAGATCAGCTTCTGACATCCAGTTTCCAGTATTTGTCACCAAACATGACACATTTAATGGAATTTCTCCAACACGAGTCAATAGTTGGGGAGCAAACTCACATCTTAAGGGAAAAAATAATCAAAACATTCAAAGAAAAAGATCTTTCCAGCCACGTGAGATTTTTAAGGTCCATTTGAAGCTAAAGAGCCAAAGGGTTAAAGGGGTGGAACTCTGGGGACACATAACACATGTGTTTTAGGTTTAGTTGGCTTTGTTTTAAATCTTGACTTTCCTTAGAACTATAATGGTGTGCATGAGCCACAGATTCCAGGCAGATTAATTTCCAGAGTTGCAGAACAAGACTTACAGATGTCATTGACTTACAGACTCTGAAAATAGTCAGCTAGTGAAAATGTGATGAGGTCAGCTGGCTCAGTGGGTAAGGACATCTGCCACACAAGTATGACTATCTGAGTTTGCATTCCCACTGTAAAAATCTAGGTGTGACCAGACACATGCTTGTCACTCTATTGCTGTGACAGGAAAAGACAGGAGGTCCTGAAGGCTTGCTGGTTGCCAGCCTAGCTCCAGGTTTAGTGAGAGACCCAGTCTCTAAGGAATAAGATGGACAGTGATAGAGCAGGTCACCTAATGTCCTACTCTGGTTTCAGCAAGTGCATGCCCACCACTCTGGGTTAACTATTTAGCTATCATAAAACCTTACTAGAAAACAAACTCCATAAAAGGCTTCATATAATTTGTTACGTCTATATCCTCAGAGTTTGTAACACTATGACTTAAAAAAAATCACTGAATTTGGAGATCAACCATAGTTGGTTTAAGTCTTGCTTGTGTACTCTCTAGATATATGATTTGTGAAGGGAAGCTATTTAATCTTTTTGCCCTGGGTCAGTTTTGTCATCTGAGAAAGGAATACACACCTGGCTACACCTTTCTAGCAGGGCTGTGGTGGAGAAAAACTGAGATCACAAGTGACAAGTGGCCTGGTTTCATCATGGGGCATCAGTAAGAACTGTGTGGATGCTAGCTGAACTTAGCAGGTCTACTGAAAGATGCTGGCAAACAAACACAAGGGCAAGTTTCTCCTCTTGTGTTCATGCCTGTACACATTAGCCAACAATGCTGAGGCTAAATCAAGTTTAGGCTGAAACCCTGGGGGTCCTATAACAGAAGCTATTTGCCCCCACTTTCCTAAACCACGAATTGGAGGGGCCAAGCCCATTAGAATGAGCAAACATACCTGTATGTCTTTAGGTGGTATTTTCTGTCTCTTATCATGTGGGGTGCTCGAGAGAGAATGGCAATTCGTAAAATTTTTCCAGCTCTGAGGATCTTCTCTGAAGGGACCTGGGTTTTAATCAGATGGGAGGAAGAGATGGAAAAGGAGAGTTTATGGAAGGGAAATAGACCCAGGGAATTCTTAAACCACTTTCTAGTCAGAGTCTGCACAGAAAAACACAATTCACTCATACATATTTACTTTGTTCACTCGTGTGACATGTCACTGTTTTATGTCGAGAATTGAGACATGCTGCATATTTATTGACTCTAGGAAGTGGGCATGAGGGGCCTTGACACGATGCTCTGACATAGGAACCACCTCCAGTGGTACTTAAGGAGCAAGCTTGGATGGCTCATCAACCCACCTACGTCCCATTACCTTGGTAATGGTGTTAGCAGGACGGAGAGGAACGTGAGGTTCAATGAGAGGTGTCTGAAAAATAAAATGTTAAAGCAAAAGAAAATTAAACAAAAAAATTCAGTAAAGAAAATTATGGGTTGTGGATAATAAGAAACACCAATTTTTGTGAAACTCAAAATAGAATTTTAAAAGAAAGAGAGAGAGAGAAGCTGCCTAAAGAACTTGAATGCACAGGCATTCAAAGGGCAAAATTGGATCATTCAGTTTGCCAACATTTAAATAGAAATTGTTTTAAAAAAAATGAAAAAAAAAAGAACCAAACAGGAATGATTCAGTGTTTGTAGGCTTAATGAGAAGGGAAAAGGCAGCTAGTTGAAGCCTAACAAACATCAGGACAGGGAAGAAAGCAAGTAAAGTAAACAGTCAGAGGTTATAGTGACCTGCCCTGGGCTGCGGATAAAGTATTGATTTGGGGTGGGAATGAGCCGTTCCTTGTTCTCTTGTGTAGTTAAGACTCTTTCTCCACAATGCTTTGTTTGTTTGTTTGTTGTTATCTTCACATGTAGTTTCCTGCACTCAAGCTCCTAGAACCCAAGGGAGGCAGCTGGTGCACTTATCTTTTTCTGAGAAAAGTGTGCAGCCTTTAAGAGTCTACGCCAGTCAGACTAGCCCCAGGATCTAGATGGCACTCTTCATATGAAACTCATCCTGCCAATAGATGGGATGCATCTGAGTCTACATCGGAGTCTACAAAATGGAACCACTAACCTTCATTATCTCATACAGCTGACAATGACCTTTGCAGTGTTTCAGGTCAAAGGTGGTGGGAGAGCCATAGTTACAATGCTGTTTGTAACACTTTCGGACAGCATGGTTTGATTTGATTTGATTTCTTTGGAACTTTAGTAGGCTAGGGCTCCTTACCTACATTCCCCAAAGATGTGCACATGTTTATCCCCCGAAACTATGCATACTGGGTTACCTGGCAACAGAATGATGTGGGTGTGGTTAGGATCAAAAGGTGGAGGCTAGCTTGGTGTTCCTGGGGCATTATGTTATAAGATGTAAGAACAGAAGGCTGAATGTTAGTACCCAACAGCAGAAGAGGAGGATTCGCAACTCAGGGGCCTTGAAGAGGGAAAAGGCCAGGACCCAGGAATGCAGAAGCCTCCCCAGGGGAACAGACAAGAAAAAAAAAGAGCCCCCTTAACCCTCCAAAGGCAGCATAATCCTACCGAGCCTCCATTTCAACCCAGTGGCTCACACTGGAGGTCTGGAATACAGCACGGGTTCATTGATTTGATTATTTCCGTCTACCCCACTGAGTGGTGGTTTGTTACGGCAGTTCCCAAACACTGACAAAGATTATAACACTTCATATCAACACCTCCCTGCCTCTTGCAAATGAGTTAATTACAGTGAAAATGCATTGGTGAGTTCATCTCTATCTCTCATTTAAAATATGCAACCATGGAGGGAGATGAAGGTCACTATTAGTTTTAAGAAATGCTTTAAACCTCAATGTGAATATACACACATAAATGTTATATTTGCCTTTTATCAATGACAAATTTCAGGTGGGTTAGTGCTTTTAACATTATAGCAGAGTTAAAGGGGGAAATAAATCCTAAACTTTAAAGGCCAGCAGAGATGGGACATAGATCTATTTAGAATGACTCTTTGAACTTACCCATTTCAACATTTTCTTCATGGGACTGGCATCCAGCAGACCCCACCCACTGAAAGGGATGGTGTATGGGCGGGCAGGACAGCACTTAGAGCAAGCACACCACAAGACCAAAGGATGTCAATGTGGTCCAATTCAAAATGACATGCCCTGGCAGCTCCTGTGTTCTTTACAGTAGACCTGCTGATGGGTGAGGAGCTGTGAGACCATGGAAGCCCTGTATCTAACTCAGACCACTGGCCAGCCAGGGAGACGGTGCTATGGTACCCTGGAAACACACGGCTAAAGCTGGCTGTGACCTTCCCAGTTATGAACGTCAGCTCCAGTGATCCTGTCCCTTCTATACACACGTGGTGTCATATATCCATGAGGCTTCCCGGTTATGGATCTAACTTGTAAAAGCTTCTGGTTGCTCTACAAAATGATGCTAGAAACCCACCCCTTCTTCCTGTTCTGGAAGAAGAGGTCTAGAGCAGACAGAGGCGAGGGTTTGTTTTCTGGACCCCCCTGCCCCCTATGAGGCTTCTTTCCAGTTCGTCTGGAGAAGCTGGCTAAGATGGAGGTCAAGAGGAGGCCCAAACTAAGGAAGGGCTGATAAAATGCTGTTTCTTTTTGTTCTTGGTGAGCTCAATGGGACTACTGGAAGACTACATACATTTTAGTTGCTTCTACTATAATATAACAAAATGCTAACAAGTGGTACCTAGCGTAGTTTACTTTGTTCAATGACTTCTTTTCTTTTTGATTCATTGGAGCCTTGAAAAGGAAGCATTACTAAAGCAGGGTGATGCATCAGGCTTCCACCAAAACTCTGCCTTTGATTTGCGACTTCTAAAAGCACCGAAGGTACACAAGGTACTCTCAGCTAGACCACCCTAGTGCCAGCTCCAGGCCAGCAGGCTGTTTCATCTGTTGAAAAGCAAAGCTCTCAAAACCTTCTGACCTCAGAGATGTTGGTTTGAGGTAGCACCATGAATGTGTGCTTTGAGGAGGGGATGTCCCTCTATTTAAGTAAAGCCTGTGAGGGACACATGCAAGGGAAACAGGGAAAGTGTTCTCTTCAGAGGACAGGACTGACTTTGATGTGATTATTACATTCACTCAGGAGGTCTGAGAACGGGCCAGTGCCTGGGAGTGATTGTTGATACAGACAGACTTGAGACAGCCTGAGAAGTCATCCCTGGCCAAGGCCTGGTCAGGGGAACCCTACATGACCATCACCATCACCATCACCACTCCCACTACAGCCTCCATCACCACCACCACCCCTTTTCTTCTAGAAATGTCTCGGCTGTCATGTTGGAAGATTTTGTATTTTGTTTGATTGAAGTTCACTGAAAAGGTTCAATATGCGTGGTCAGCCCTTCTAGTCCAGGCATCAGATTTGGTCGAAAGAATTTTTGGCAATAAATTGTCATTTTTACTAAATGGGATCATACCCATTGGTAGGATACAGCATGCTTAGTCAGGCTTAACTTCTTAAAAAGCAACTTTATAAGAACGAAACATTTACATTAAGAAACTGTTCCCTCAGGGATAGCATAAATGTGCCAGAAGAAGGGTGTCACAGAAGTCCACCCAGGAGACTAGAAACCACTTAGAGACCTGATCAGGGAAGGATTTCTCTGCTGGTAAATAGTTTTACAGGTGGAGGAAGATGGGGAAGCCAGCCGGACCCACTAAGCCAATCCCATGTTGGCAAAAGAAAGCCTTTGGGAAGAGTGCTGAGGAAGAAGAAAAAAATCACCAGGTGTCCTGGGAGATACTGGGACTTGGAGGGCCTCTAGAACCCCTGAGACACGGCCACTGCTACTGATGCCACCAGTCTATCCACTGCCAAGAGGATATCCATACCCATAACCATTCTCCCTCTGGTCAGAGGCTAGAGAAACGAGGGAATCATTTCATTATATCAATGATTATGTTAAACAGGAGAGAGAGAAACAGCAATAGAGCGGTATCAGTGAGAACCAAAGCAAGAAAACCAGCCTGAAGGATGAGGAGCCAGGACACATGCCTCCAGAGGCCAGCCCCTTTCAGATCATGGAAAGGACAAAGAAGCCATCTGAAGGGCCAGCCCTACAATGTGGCCACAGCAGCCACAGACATGGGCTCACAGAGCCTTGCCATGCGGGACACCAACCCTCCCACCTGCTTGCTGGCCTATATCCTCCAGGCACATTTCCTGTTGGGAACCAAAGCGAAAGGCAGATGGGAAGCCAGTACAGCAAGGGGCTTCATTAATGATGGCTTGGTTTGTGTCCAAGAGCTCCCCTCTGCTTTGACCTGTAGCTAGAATGCACATAGCACAAGGAGCTGGCTGGCCAAGCTCTGGGCCCTCTCTGATTAAATTGCGTACATTTCAACACATTCTCATGTGTTGATAGAAATTCCTGTGGGCACGAAAGAGTCCAAACCAGGCTGTGAACATGTGATCCTCAAAGGCAGGCAGGAAGGACAGATAAGGGCAGAAGCCTCCAGCATTTTCTTGGCTGTCTCCCCTGAAGGCTTCCCTCAGGATTAACCATAATTGGTTTTTGTTTGTCTTAGGGAAGGGGGCTTCTCTTTCAGCTGCTTTTTATTATGTTTCTATTACCAGTGAAAGGGGGAAACGGTGAGAAAAAATATTCCTTTTGGCATCTGAGCCAACTCAGAAATCCTAATCGGGTGATGAAAAATATGAATTTTAGCTTCTATTACAAGGTGCACAATAACCCCCAAGTAGATATAATGAGGTAGATGAGGCCTTGTAATAGGCCTCACGAAAAATCATATTCAGACCCCTTTGAAAACAGGGTGATTCTTTTTAGTCAAGTGTTTGTTCACAGGAGTCTTTTGCAAGGCACAACATCTTAAGCCAAGAGACAAGAATAACAAGCAAGAATGGGGACACAGAGCTCAGGGAGGACGCTGGCAATCCAGGGCAATAAAAAGTCATGGCAGTCTCATCCAACCCGATCCAGGGAGCTAACGAAGGCCTATGGTGTGCAGAGCAATGTGTAAGGCTAAACTGAGGGTTAGGATGAAGAAAGTGCCGGATTTAAATGAGCTCTTGAACTTTCCATGGGTTCACGGTCAGCAAGTGCACCTGAGACCCCAAATAAATGCTACATCGCCATGGCTTTCAAGTCCCATGGCCTTTCTTATTTCTGATGAGCAGGAGAGAAAGAACATTCAATTTCTCAGTGAAAATGACATGCTTCTAGGAGTTAACATCCCCTGTTTTGATATTTTGAAATAATGCAACCAAGCCTTTGAAATGTTCGCCTCATTCTTGTCATTACCGCAAGGTCACCACTCTGGTGCTGACAGATGAAATACAATTCACATAGGCAGATTCCATGACTCTGAAATAACTAAGCTTCTCCATTCGTGAAATCATGGG